TAAAGAGTTAGTATTGAGATTTGTTGATGACACAAAGTTAGGTGAGAGTGTAATCTGTGAGGAGGACTAAGAGGCTGAAAGGGGATTATAGACAGGTTAAGTGAGCAGATGGAGTCCAGCCATGATCTTACTGAATGACAGAGCAGGCTGCCAATCAGGTTCATTCTATGGGTTGGGAACATGAAGTACAAAGCTGGAAGGCAAGAAAACTGTGCAATGTCAAACAGAAGATCCAGGAGCAAGCATGCCCTAGGAAGGAGATAATGAACCATTGAAAAATGGTCTATTAATCAAAGAGAGAGATCAAACAGAAGCAGTCCAGGGAAAGTTGGAAGACATGGTAGAGGAAAGTTTAATAAAGTTAAGAAATATTTGACAAACTAAGAACACCATCAGGAGGTGAAGCCCATACGACTGGGCAGTCTTAGGGACCATAAACAAATTAGATGACAAGTTAATGAAAGATGCCAAGCAACATGAATTACAAAGCTGGAGACAATTTGGACTGTACACAGAGATGCCAGAATAGGGGAGAAGCAGCCCTATCACATCGATGGACATGCACCCAAAAGGTATTCCTTGATGAGACTTCAGGCTAAAGCAACGTTAGGTTTAAGAAAAACTGAAGAATCGAGATAGAACAGTAGATTCACTGATGGCAGCAATTCTGATTTTGTTTTTGGCTTAGTAAGCAACAAATGTTTTGGAGCGTAGATCAGTTGATATTAAAGTTGCATTTCTGCATTGAGATTAATTCAAAAGGCAAGAGTTTGTTCACCCTTCAAAGGAGGCACCAAATGCAGTGGGGATGCACAAAGTTAAATAAATGTCCACGCTGCCGACATGATGTCTCCTGAGTTTGGATCTTCTCAGTAAGGTCCATCTTAATAAAACAGGAGCTACAGGTGGCAAGAAACTACAGTTAAGGCCATAACAAAGCAGCCGCGACGAGTGATGGAGTAGGCTCTGAAGATCAAATGACCTACTCCTGCTTCTATTTCTTTTGATATTAACTTATGCTTAAAAGCAACAACTTTAACCCAATGAATAGTTTAGTTAGACGCCAAGGCAAGAGGCTTGGCCAGTATTTAATTGTCCTTTATAACTCTGTGTGGAACAGCTTCAAACATTTTGGCTCATTTAAGGGGCTATATAACAACTATTTTTAATCTAATTTTTGACAATTTACAGAATAGTGCAAACAACTATCACGGGGGAACATTCAGCTCAAGGGTAGCTGTGGAAGAAACAACTACACAAACTGAGTGACAGTTTCAGACTGTCCCTGGAAGGGGTTTTGTGAGGTACTGTTCCTACCTGCAGGCTAGCCTATAAAGCATCAGTTGAGAGAAAATAACTTAAAAGGCAAAAAGGACTCTCTTTAATAATAAAGGAAACAAAGGAAGGAGGTGGAGGATGAGAAGGTTTGCTTTTGAAGGTTGCAACATTATTAATTAAATTCATATCAAGCACATAAAAGAGAATGAGTTCATTAGCAATGTGCAGATGAAAATCACACTTGGAGCTAGCTAATTTACTCACTTTCTAAAAAAAAAAATTGCGCACTGTTCTGCTATGACTATATCAAAATAAAAACCTTGGCTGTGCTCCCCTGCTCCCACCACACACACACACACACACACACACACACACACACACACACACACAC